CTCCCCTCCCCTCCCCCCCTCCCAGTGGTTCCCAGTTCAGGCTGGAAGGGGAACTGGAGCCCGTGGGAGTGACTCAGGGGGTGTCTGAAGGAGGGAGCTGCTCCAGCCAGGTCTCACAAGCTCTGGCAGATTTATTTCACACCCAAGATAGCTCAGCTGCCTTAGAAGGTGTAAAATCAGCAGGATGGTTGTGTTAGAAACCAAAAAAATTAATAAAAGGCAAAATAACAAATCTCTTTACAGAGAAAAACTGAGCCAGTGCAAGAGGGAAAAAACCTAACTGCACTGATAGAAGGTCTCCTCCAGCCAGGTCTCACAAGCTCTGGCAGATTTATTTCACACCCAAGATAGCTCAGCTACCTTAGAAGGTGTATAATCAGCAGGATGGTCATGTTAGAAACAAACAAAAAAAAATTAATAGAAGGCAAAATAACAAAGCTGTTTACAGAGAAAAACTGAGGCAGATGCAAGAGAGGAAAAAAAACCCTAACTGCACTGATATAAGGTCTCCTCCAGCCAGTCTCAAGCTTTTGGAGATTTATTTCACACCCAAGATAGCTCAGCTACCTTAGAAGGTGTATAATCAGCAGGATGGTCATGTTAGAAACAAACAAAAAAAAATTAATAGAAGGCAAAATAACAAAGCTGTTTACAGAGAAAAACTGAGGCAGATGCAAGAGAGGAAAAAAAACCCTAACTGCACTGATAGAAGGTCTCCTCCAGCCAGGTCTCCTAGGTTTTTGGAGATTTATTTCACACCCAAGATGGCTCAGCTACCTCAAATGGCATAAAATCAGCAGGATGGCTTCTGTGGTGGTGTTTGAAATAAAAAGGTTTCAATAAAAGGCAAAATAACAAAGCTGTTTACAGAGAAAAACTGAGGCAGGGGCAAGAGGGGAAAAAACCCCTAACTGCACTGATAGAAGGTCTCCTCCAGCCAGTCTCAAGCTTTTGGAGATTTATTTCACACCCAAGATAGCTCAGCTACCTTAGAAGGAGTAAAATCAGGAGGATGTCGGTGTTGGAAATAAAAAAAAAATTAATAAAAGGCAAAATATCAAAGCTGTTTACAGAGAAAAACTGAGGCAGGGGCAAGAGGGGAAAAAACCCCTAACTGCACTGATAGAAGGTCTCCTCCAGCCAGTCTCAAGCTTTTGGAGATTTATTTCACACCCAAGATAGCTCAGCTACCTTAGAAGGAGTAAAATCAGGAGGATGTCGGTGTTGGAAATAAAAAAAAAATTAATAAAAGGCAAAATAACAAATTTCTTTACAGAGAAAAACTGAGGTAGGGGCAAGAGGGGAAAAAAACCCCTAACTGCACTGATAGAAGGTCTCCTCCAGCCAGGTCTCCTAGGTTTTTGGAGATTTGTTTCACACCCAAGAGACCTGAGCCAGGTCCAAGAGGTTCCTGCCCATAGTAAAACACCCCACGAAAGCAATTAGTTCCTTTGTTCTCTTCTTTTTCTAATAAATTGCTTAAGCAAAACATTTTGGCTTCTGTTTAATTAGCTATCCTTAAGTTTGAAGTAAAGTCCCCCAAGTCCTATAAAACAGGATGGTTGTGTTAGAAATAAAAAAAGTTTTAATAAAAGGCAAAATAACAAAGCTCTTCATAGAGAAAATCCCAGCCAGGTGCAAGAGGTTCCTGCCCATGGTAAAACACCCCACAAAAGCAAATAGTTCATTTGTTCTATTTCTAATAAATTGCTTAAGCAAAACTTTTTGGCTTCTGTTTAATTAGCTATCCTTAAGTTTGAAGTAAAGTCCCCCAAGTCCTATAAAATGCCTTTTCACCTAATTAGAAAGAGAAATTTCTAAACTTATTTCCTTTTTAAAAAGACAGAAGATACTTTTGTCACTCCATCAACAACAAAAGCCACATTCCTGCTGATGCCCGAGGCAGATTTTTCCAGCAGGGGTTTCCCACTCACCGTCTCATCCTCGGGGATGGGGATCTTGCTGTCGAAGTAGGTGGTGAAGGGCTCCCCATCGTCAGCTTCGGGGGGCTGCAGGGGGCTCCTGCTGCTGGAGATGGTGCTGACCACCCCCCCGGGCTCCCCGGGGACATCCTCTGCAGGGACAGGGGGACAGGAGCATCAGCACCCTGCAAGGTCCTGCAGGACCCCCAGGCAGGGCACAACAACAAGGCAGCGTGGCTGACAGTAATTAAGGGATAAAGAGGTAATGAAATTAAAATATCCCACATTGCTGCATCGCTCAGAGGCTGCTCTGCCTCCTGGTTCCAGGCTGGAGGCTGGGATTGATTTATTGATTGATTTATTTCTTTATTTATTTATTCCAGGTGATTTAAAAAAGCCCATCCTGGGGGCTGATCTGGAGCGGTGGCAGGAGCAGCGCCCCCAAAATTATTAATGATTAATTAATGATTAATCTGGATGAGCCAGATCCCAGAGAAATCTGGGACTGCTCCTGCACCTCATCCCAGCCTCTCCGGGCTGGATCCCAGGGAAATCCAAACTGGAGCAAGGGCCAGCCAGGAGATGGCACAGCCCCGAGGGGACAGCCCCGCTCAGAGCTCCAGGAGCTCCCAGGGTGGGGGGTGAGGAGGCGTGCAGGGGCACCAGCAGCTCCCCACACTGCCACAGCCCCACATTCCCCATCCCCACATCCCCACATTCCCCATCCCCACAGCCCCAAATTCCACATCCCCACAGCCCCAAATTCCACATCCCCACAGCCCCAAATCCCAGCCTCTCCGGGCTGGATCCCAGGGAAATCCAAACTGGAGCAAGGGACAGCCAGGAGATGGCACAGCCCCGAGGGGACAGCCCCGCTCAGAGCTCCAGGAGCTCCCAGGGTGGGGGGTGAGGAGGTGTGCAGGGGCACCAGCAGCTCCCCACATCCCCACATTCCCCACCCTGCCACAGCCCCACATTCCCCATCCCCAAATTCCTACATCCCCACATTTCCACACTCCCACATCCCCACACTGCTACAGCCCCACATTCCCCATCCCCACATTCCCACAGCCCCAAATTCCCCATCCCCACAGCCCCAAATTCCCCATCCCTACATTTCCACATTACCACATCCCCACATTCCCTCATTTCCACACTCCCACATTTCCACATCCCCACACTGGCAGCAAAATCTCCATCCCGGGCTCTCTCCCAGCCCCACACAACCCCAAACTCTCTGCCAGTCCTATACAATCCCACACAATCCCATACTCAATGCCAACCCTATACAATCCCACACCCTCTCCTAATCCCATACTCGATCCCACACTCTCTCCCAATCCTGTACAATCCCACACAATCCCCCACTCTCCTAATCCCACACAACCCTGAACTCTCTTCCAACCCTGTACAATCCCATACTGTCTCCTAATCCCACACAATCCCACACTCTCTCCCAGTCCTATACTCGATCCCACACTCTCTTTCAATCCTATACAATCCCACACAACTCCACAATCTCTCCCAGTCCCACACAATCCTATACTCAATCCCACACTCTCCCAGTCCCACACAACCCCATACTCTCTCACAATCCTTTACAACCCCATACTGTCTCCTAATCCCACACTCGATCCCACACTCCCTCCCAATCCCACACAATCCCACACTCTCTTCCAATCCCATACAATCCCCTACTGTCTCCCAATCCCATACTCAATCCCACACTCTCTCCCAGTCCCACACAACCCCACACTCTCTCCCAATCACACTCTCTCTCAGCCCCACACAATCCCACACTCTCTCCCAATCACACTCTCAGCCCCGCACAATCCCACACATGATCCCAGTCTCATACTCAATCCCACACTCTCTCCAAACCCTACACAATCCCTCTCAATCCCACGCTCTCTCCCAGCCCCACACAACCTCACACTCTCTCCCCACACAATCCCACACATGATCCCAGTCTCGTACTCAATCCTACACTCTCTCCAAACCCTGTACAATCCCACACTCTCTCCCAGCCCCACACAATCCCACACTCTCTCCCAATCCCACACTCAATCCCACACTCTCCCAATCCCACAATCTCCCCCAATCCCACATTCTCTCCCAGTCCCACACAATCCCCTGCTCTCTCACAATCCCATACTCAATCCCACACTCTCTCCCAATCCCAAAATCTCCCCCAATCCCACACAATCCCATTCCACACTCTCTCCCAAACCTATACAATCCCACACTCTCTCCCCACACAATCCCACACATGATCTCAGTCTCATACTCAATCCCACACTCTCTCCCAATCCCACCCCACACTCTCTCCCAGCTCCATACTCAATCCCACACTCTCTCCCAATCCTATACAATCCCACACAATCCCACACTTTCTCCCAGCTCCATACTCGATCCCACACTCTCTCCCAATCCTATACAATCCCATTCCATACTCTCTCCCAGTCCTACACTCTCTCCCAATCCTATACAATCCCACACTCTCTCCCCACACAATCCCATACTCTCTCCCAGCTCCATACTCAATCCCACTCTCTCTCAATCCCACACTCTCTCCCAATCCTATACAATCCCACACAATCCCACGCTCTCTCCCAGCTCCATACTCGATCCCACACTCTCTCCCAGTCCCACAATCTCCCCCAATCCCACCCCACACTCTCCCCCAGTCCCACACAATCCCATCCCACAATCTCCCCCAACCCTACACAATCCCATGCTCTCTCCCAGCCCCACACAGCCCCCCAGCCCCACACTCACTGCTGCTCGCCCCAGGGGCCATTCCCTCTCCGGCAGCCGCTCTGGGACAGGGCAGGGACAGGGACAGGGACGGGACAGGGACAGGGCAGGGACAGGACAGGGACAGGGACAGGACAGGGCAGGGACAGGACAGGGCAGGGCCAGGGCAGCTCTGCCCAGCTCCTATTGCATCACCCGGGCCCCTCCTCCTCCTCCTCCTCCTCCTCAGAGACAGGACAGGGACAGGACAGGGACGGGGACAGGACAGGGACAGGACAGGACAGGGCAGGGCAGGGCCAGGGCAGCTCTGCCCAGCTCCTATTGCATCACCCGGGCCCCTCCTCCTCCTCCTCCCGAGCCCGGCCAGGGCCTCCGTACACAGGGAACCCTCCTGGAAGCTGCCCAGGTGTGCTGGGAACTGCCCAGGTGTGCTCAGATCCCTGCTGGGAACTGCCCAGGTGTGGTCAGAGCTGCCCAGGTGTGCAGGAATCCAGGTCAGAGCTGCCCAGGTGTGCTGGGAACTGCCCAGGTGTGCAGGGATCCTGGTCACAGCTGCCCAGGTGTGCAGGGATCCTCCTGGAAGCTGCCCAGGTGTGCTGGGAACTGCCCAGCTGTGCTCAGATCCCTGCTGGGAACTGCCCAGGTGTGCAGGGATCCTGGTCAGAGCTGCCCAGGTGTGCTGGGAGCTGCCCAGGTGTGCAGGGATCCTGCTGGGGCTGCCCAGGTGTGCAGGGATCCTGCTGGGGCTGCCCAGGTGTGCAGATTTGCTGCTGGCAGATTTCCCCCAGGACATTCCTGCCCAGGCCGGGCTGGTTGGGCTGGTTCAGCTGGGCCAGTGACCCCGGGGCACTGCAAGGGCTCAGCCCAGCACCCCAAAAACCGGGGAGAAGGGAAGAGGGGGGACCAGGCCTCAGCCCAGCACCCCAAAAAAACAGGGAGAAGGGTAGAGGGGAGATGAAGGCTCAGCCCAGCACCCCAAAAACCGGGGAGAAGGAAAGAGGGGGATGAGGGCTGAGCCCAGCACCCCAAAATCAAGGATATAAGGTAAAGGGGGGATGAGGGCTGAGCCCAGCACCCCAAAATCAAGGATATAAGGTAAAGGGGGGATGAGGGCTCAGCCCAGCACCCCAAAATCAAGGATATAAGGTAAAGTGGAGATCAGCCCTGAGCCCAGCACCCCAAAAAGCAGAGAGAAGGGAAGAGAGGGGATGAGAGTTCAGCCCAGCACCCCAAAACCAGGGATAAGGTAAAGGGGGGATCAGGGCTGCGCCCAGCACCCCAAAAACCGGGGAGAAGGAAAGAGGAGGATGAGGGCTGAGCCCAGCACCCCAAAATCAGGGATGAGGGAAGGGGGGATCAGGGCTCAGCCCAGCACCCCAAAATCAGGGATGAGGGAAGGGGGGATCAGGGCGCCGCCCAGCACCCCAAAATCAGGGATGAGGGAAAAGGAGGTGAGGGCTGAGCCCAGCACCCCAAAAACCGGGGAGAAGGGAAGAGGGGGGACCAGGCCTCAGCCCAGCACCCCAAAAAAACAGGGAGAAGGGTAGAGGGGAGATGAAGGCTCAGCCCAGCACCCCAAAAACCGGGGAGAAGGAAAGAGGGGGATGAGGGCTGAGCCCAGCACCCCAAAATCAAGGATATAAGGTAAAGGGGGGATGAGGGCTGAGCCCAGCACCCCAAAATCAAGGATATAAGGTAAAGGGGGGATGAGGGCTCAGCCCAGCACCCCAAAATCAAGGATATAAGGTAAAGTGGAGATCAGCCCTGAGCCCAGCACCCCAAAAAGCAGAGAGAAGGGAAGAGAGGGGATGAGAGTTCAGCCCAGCACCCCAAAACCAGGGATAAGGTAAAGGGGGGATCAGGGCTGCGCCCAGCACCCCAAAAACCGGGGAGAAGGAAAGAGGAGGATGAGGGCTGAGCCCAGCACCCCAAAAAGCAGGGATAAAAGAAAGGGAGGATCAGGGCTGAGCCCAGCACCCCAAAATCAAGGATATAAGGTAAAGGGGGGATCAGGGCTCAGCCCAGCACCCAAAAAAGCAGGGATGAGAAAAAGGGGGGATGAGGGCACAGCCCAGCACCCCAAAACTAGGGACAAGGAAAGGGGGGGATCAGAGCTCAGCCCAGCACCCCAAAATCAAGGATAAGGTAAAGGGGGGACCAGGGCTCAGCCCAGCACCCCAAAAGCAGGAATAAGGAAAGGGGGGGATCAGAGCTCAGCCCAGCACCCCAAAAGCAGGGATAAGGTAAAGGGGGGACTAGGCCTCAGCCCAGCACCCCAAAAGCAGGAATAAGGACAGGGGGTGAGGGCAGCCCCCGTGCCCCCTCCGTGCCAGGCTCACCGTAGGACGCTTTCCTCTCCATGTCTGAGGTGCCCATGGGGGAGGCCTTGCCCTGCCCCGGGAGCTGCTTCACTCGGGACACATCGGCTGGAAAAAGGCAAAAATCCTCTCAGGGTGGCTCAGAGCCCTAGACATTCAGAATTTTTAATTTTCTGTGCTGAAAGGCACAAAAAAACCCCACTGCGTTTGACCTGAGGCTGTGGAGAAAGCTTCCAAAATGAATTAACAGCACTAAGATTACACGTGTGCAATTAGTTAAAAGTGTGTAATACCACAAAACAGAAAACTTGGCGTTTTAAAGCACAGTAATAAATATGAAAAGTTTTAAGGCAGAAACAAATTGTTATTATTTTCCTTCTTCTTCCTAAGTTTAAGTAGGATTTTGTAATTAAACAAAAAAGTCTGGACTTGGAGAGATTAGTTATTCAGTTCAAAAAGGAAATAATTTAAGTTAATAATTAACTTAATTAGTTTAATATTAAAAGTCCTTATAAGAAAAGATAGTTAATAATATGAATATTATTAATAAAATACTAATATTAATATTATTAATATTAATAATATTCATATTATTACTATCTTTTCTTATAAGGACTTTTAAGATTAAACTGTTTAATTAAGTTAATTATTAACTTAAATTAATAATATGAATATTATTAATAAAAGACTACTGTTAATATTATTAGTATTCATAATATTAATATTAGTCTTTTATTAATAATATTCATATTATTACTATCTTTTCTTATAAGGACTTTTAAGATTAAACTGTTTAATTAAGTTAATTATTAACTTAAATTAATAATATGAATATTATTAATAAAAGACTAATATTAATATTAATAATGTTAATATTATTAAAGTTAATAATTAATTAAACAGTTTAATCTTAAAAGTCCTTATAAAAAAAGATAGTTAATAATATGAACATTATTAATAAAAGACTACTGTTAATATTATTAGTATTCATAATATTAATATTAATAATTTAAGTTAATAATTATCTTAATTAAACAGTTTAATCTTAGAAGTCCTTATAAGAAAAGATAGTTAATAACATGAATATGAGAATAATGATAATATAATATATAACATATATTATATTATATTATATTATATTATATTATATTATATTATATTATATTATATTATATTATATTATATTATATTTATTATATTCCTCTTTCTCTCACCTGGGAGCAGAGCCCAAACCCCACCTGGCTGTCCCCTCCTGTCAGGGAGTTGTGGAGACTCCACCTGAGCAGCTTTTCCATGAAGGATTTTTCCCTAAATTCCAACCTAAACTTGCCCTGGATGCCTTTTTGTCTCTTTCTCTCATCTGGGAGCAGAGCCCAGACCCCACCAGGCTTTTTCCCCTCCTGTCAGGGCGTTGTGGCGACTCCATCCTTGTCCTGAGCAGCTTTTCCATGAAGAATTTTTCCCTAAAATCCAACCTCAACCTCCCCTGGATGCCTTTTTGTCTCTTTCTCTCATCTGGGAGCAGAGCCCAGACCCCACCAGGCTTTTTCCCCTCCTGTCAGGGCGTTGTGGCGACTCCATCCTTGTCCTGAGCAGCTTTTCCATGAAGAATTTTTCCCTAAAATCCAACCTCAACCTCCCCTGGATGCCTTTTTGTTTCATCCTCTCACCTGAGAGCAGAGCCCAGACACCACCTGACTGTTTCCCCTGTCACGGAGTTGTGGGGACTCCACCTGAGCAGCTTTTCCATGAGGGATTTTTCTCTAAATTCCAACCTAAACCTCCCCTGGATGCCTTTTTGTTTCATCCTCTCATCTGGGAGCAGAGCCTGACCCCTGCTCCTGCTCACCCTGGGCTCATCCTGCTCCTGCCACAGCCTGGGCTCATCCTGCTCCTGCCACAGCCTGGGCTCATCCTGCTCCTCCTGGGCTCATCCTGCTCCTCCTGGGCTCATCCTGCTCCTTCCACAGCCTGGGCTCATCCTGCTCCTGCTCCTGCTCACTCTGGGCTCCTTCAGCTCCTTCCAAAGCCCCAGGCTCATCCTCATCCTGCTCCTGCTCCTCCTCCCCACCCTGAGCTCATCCTCCTCCTCCCCACCCTAGGCTCATCCTGCTCCTTCTCCTCCTCCTCCTCCCCACCCTGGGCTCATCCTGCTCCTCCTCACCCTTAATGTTCGTTGTGGAGCCACCTCAGTATCTGTGGCCAGCCTGGGAGGGGCAGGACAGGGCCCCTTATCTGCCCCAGCAGCTGCAGGGCTGGGGGCTGCACCCACACCCAGCCAGGGAGCAGCTCCAGCCCACCCACCAAGGAGCCTCCCATGGGCTGCCTGCTCCATCAGGGAATTCTCCTAAAATCCCAAAAACCTCCCCTGGATGTCTTTTTGTCCCCTCCTGTCCCCTGGGAGCATCCTGCTCTTTCCACTGCCCTGGGCTCATCCTGCTCCTTCCTGCCCCCGTGCCAGTGGGCACGCAGCCAGGTGCCACGAGGCAGGTGCCTCCTTGCCCACCTGGGCTCACATCCAGCCCTGGGCTCTCCCTGGCACCACGCTGAGCCTGGCACCACAGTGGGCACAGCAGCTCCTTCCCAGGGAACCCTCCCTGGATCCAGCCAGGCCCGAGCAGAGCACCACGAGGTGCCTGTGCGCCACCTCCAGACACGGCTGCTGGCTGTGTGCAGCCAACAACGGACAATGGGCTCCTTGTTCTGAACCACCCTGCTGTGCCACGAGTGCTGCCACAGCCTGGGCACATCCTGCTCACCCTGGGTTCATCCTGATCCTTCCAACATCCCTGGGAATATCCTGCTCCTTCCAACGGCCCCAGGCTCATCCTGCTCCTTCCAACGGCCCCAGGCTCATCCTGCTCCTGCTCCTCCTGGGCTCATCCTGCTCCTGCCACAGCCTGGGCACATCCTGCTCCTGCCATGCTCCTTCCAACGGCCCCAGGCTCATCCTGCTCCTTCCAACGGCCCCAGGCTCATCCTGCTCCTTCCAACGGCCCCAGGCTCATCCTGCTCCTGCTCCTCCTGGGCTCATCCTGCTCCTGCCACACCCTGGGCTCATCCTGCTCCTGCCACAGCCTGGGCACATCCTGCTCCTTCCAACGGCCCCAGGCTCATCCTGCCCCTGCCTCACCCTGGGCTCATCCTGCCCCTGCCACAGCCTTTCATCCTGCTCCTTCCAACATCCCTGGGAATATCCTGCTCCTTCCAACGGCCCCAGGCTCATCCTGCTCCTTCCAATGGCCCCAGGCTCATCCTGCTCCTGCCACAGCCTGGGCTCATCCTGCTCCTCC